CATTGGAGCACGCATATAGCCAGGCTCTTGCATGAGACAGAATTGCTATGTGAGCCCACTATTGTACTAGTACATACAACTACTTGCTAGTATAGCCCTATAAACCAGAAAGGAGTATTTGCCCTTCTAGAGATTTCAACAAGTGACTAGACTACACCGAGACGAAGTACATATGGAGCAAAATGAGTGAATCTGCACCGTAAATAAATACGTACTAGTTCTATCGTTTTCCTCTCCAAGGTGCACAATATTGAGTATACTGACTAGTCTCTCTTTGACACGCATTTACGTTTTTTTACACAGTACAGACGCAAGCGCTCATATACACGCGCATACACTCACCCCTATGAACGCGCACACGCACGGCACTATCATCTTGAAATTTACGAAGTCACCATAGGCACCTCATCGTCGACGGGTCCATAGGTGCTTGAATGCCAAGGAGGAAGAGGGTAGTGGTTCCTGAGACGTTGAACGGTCAATGATGCATCCTCAATTACATGCAGAGGGAATTAATTGGAGAAGCAGACTAGAGCCAGCACAATGTGAATGCAACAGAGTTTGGACTCTCATATAATAAAGGCGCCCCACCACTCCAATCCATCTACTCCCAAGTCTCTGTGCAACACTGCTCACTCCAATCCAAGACCAAGTGACCAGAAGCCACAAGCACCTATGGAGGCGGTGGACGCAAGCGGCAGTCGGCTGTGCCAAATCATCCAAGGCGCCGGCCTGCGGCCCCGCACCGTGCAGCGTTTCCAGACGGTGCTGGCGACCGCAGGCATCGTAGCCCTCGCCGACGCCGGCTTCGCCTCTCGCATGGACGACATGATGGTCAACTCCATCCGCAAGTTCACCGCCGTCAAGAAGCGTGCGGACGACCTTGCCGTACTGCTCCAGCCCGCGCGCCCAGGCTCCTCATTGCCTGCCATCCTCATCGGCCTACATGGTAACGAACTCTTTCAAGCCCTGGTGGCCCTGCAGGTGCTGGAGGTCGCGATGAAGAATGTGCACCTCGAGGCCGCGCTCGCCACGCAGCGCCTCGCCATGCAAGAAAGCGTCGACCTGCACATCCATGTCTACGAGGAAATCATCTACATAGGCCACTACAAGGCAAACGAGGACAGAAAGACGTTGGCCTTCTTCCAGCAGCTGGAATCTTTGGACGCCATTGTTCAGAAGCACGTCGACCTGGCCATGAAAGCCGCTGCTACTTAGGCGTCGTTCGGTGGGCCGGCGCCCTGAGTCGAGGAGGTGGACGTCGTCGATGGATGCATCTCTTCTTCTTGCCTCCTGTAACCAGCACTGCATCGCCTTGTGGCCTTAATGTTTTACTAGTAGAACGCCCGTGCGTTGCCACGGGCTTTTTGAAGAAAAAAAATGCTACTCATGGTGCTAAAATAACCGAGAACAATGCATGTCTCAGCTACCACACATCTCAGATCCTCGGTTCTCAGGTAACACGCTTCTTCAATCAATTACAACTATCTTTTTACAAATTAAGAAAGTTCGACTCAGATACTAAAACTACATAAAAACATATAATCATGTCTTCTTCTGAACAAAAATATTGTAGTACACAACAGATTCAGTTATTGTGACCACTATAAATATATATCTTCTAGTGCAAATATTTATATCCTCGGTTATTGTGACGGCTATCTATATTTATCTTCTAGAGCAGATACTTATATCCAGAAGACATACATTTGCAAGTGTTTCTTGCTGCCAAAACCTACGTTTAGCTAAAATAAGTAGATGTAGCATAAAATTTGAGATGAGCATAGCACAACAAGGCCAGCTTGCCTCCATGTCAGAGAAAAAACAACTTGATTGCTCCAACTTTCGCACGCAACATCTGTGCTAGTACATAACTAAGAGGACTACGAAAAATGACGGGTGATCACTCGACGGCCGCCGATGCACATTTTTTACATCACTTCACTTCTTCGAAGAATGAATTGCTGCCGTGTTCACCATGCAAAGAACGTTTTTGATGCAAACAACATACGGCATCAAATACAACATAGATGTGTGTTCTTGTTTCATACTAACCTGGGTGGATGCGATAAAAACGCCATGGACAAAGTGGTCGCTAGGATGGAGATATGAACACCAAATGAACCATAGATAATTCCCAATATTAATATGTGACAGCATCTCTACTAAACAGGGAATAATTATCTCTATCAATAAGCAGAAGCAAACAACTGAAAGAAGATAACTATCTCATTTCAATCCTTACATTCATACGCCAATTTGGCCTCACCTCCGTGCCCCAGCCTCACTTTTGAAAGCCTGCAAGAGCGCGAGAGATGGGAGTAAGCACAATATTCTGCAATCAAATGAAAGACAGCCAGGGAGCAATTAGCATTTTTGCCGTGCTCCCCTGCTCAGACCATATCAGTGCCGTCACATCTCATTCAGAAAAAAAGCAGTAGCAACAGCACCCAATCCCCATCGAGATATCTCAAGCAAGGTGCCCCTTCTCTTCTCTACACATCACCACTCCTCACCATCCAGCACTGGCGGAGCCTCATAGAGGCCAAACAGATCATGACCCCGCCTTCCAAAACTACAAGCAAAAAATTACTACTATGCATACTAAGTGTTTGATCCAACCCATTAGTGAATAATACTCCTCCCAACCCCATTATTATTAGATGAATACCCTCGAAGGATACACACATGCATATTCGTGTGTGAAGCTAGCTAGCTACTCCATGCAACTTGATTGAATGTTGTACAAGCAGCTTCCTCCTGCATGTGCACATAATGCTTGCTTACTGCTACATAGATGGATTCACCCGACTGGTGGTTGCCAGCTGCATATGTTGCCATTAGGTTGATTCGCCCCCTGCTTGCTGCTGCGCCTACACGGACCATCTTGTGCACTCGCTCATCTTGCTGCTGCGCAATCGCCAAGGCGATGAGCTGACGACCGTTGATGAGCCAAGCTGCCAAAGGATGGAAGGAGCAAGATATGTTCGATTAGAGTGTAATTTTACTTCTAGGCTATTTTGAATTAAAAATTTGCT